TAAGTTCTAGAACGATTTCTCCAAAATCAATATAATTTAACAAATAGAAATGGCAGTATAACTAAAAACTCCTTTAAACTTGAACTCCTTTAAACTTTAAACATGCATTAAATAGTTCTTATTTCCATTGGCCTTACAGGAAATGATCATGGTAATTCTGCCTCACTAATAGTCTTGTTTTTTTGTGTTTGTTTGTTTTGAGACAGTCTCAAGCTGTCTCCCTGGGTAGAGTGCCCTGACATCACAGTTCGCAGCGATCTCCAACTCCTGGGCTTAAGCGATTCTCTTGCCTCAGCCTCCCAAGTAGCTGGGATTACAGGCACCTGCCACAACGTCCGACTATTTTTTGGTTGTAGTTGTTATTGTTGTTTGGCAGGCCCGGGCTGGATTCAAACCCACCAGCTCTGGTGTATGTGGCTGGCGCCTTAGCCGCTTGAGCAATAGGCGCCGAACCGATAGTTCTGTTTTGCTTTGTTTTGCCTCAGAAGTAATTATAAGATATATATAATTCATTTGGGTAATGTAAATGCCACTCCTTGGAAATTTTATTACATAAAAGGAGCTCCATCTCGTAACAAGTCATTCACAGTCTTTTTTAAAGTTTTCTTTTAGACATACACATAAAGTGTATCATATTTTAAGCTGTAACTAATAGTCTTATTTTTAACCCATGTTGATGTGTTGATGATCCCACTCCCCTGTAACAGATAAAGATATTTTATAGATTGACTACCTTGGTATCAAATAAGTAAAAAGTTATTTTTGTTAATAAATAGATAAGTACATAATTTTGAAGAAATTGTCGTACATTTACTAAGAGTATCTATAATTGACATCATTTATCTGAATAAGCCCAAGAAAGTTCTTACTATATAATAGAGGAGTAGTTTACTGCTGACCAACCTATACATCCAGGTGTTTATCTAGGTGATTGCTTTCATGATTTCTTCTAAAGGAAATGGGAATTCATTGTTTTCCTCCATTGGTGTTACGGTCCTCAGATATCCTTCACTACATGCCTCTAGGCTATGAACAAAGTTATCTCATATATGTAACATGGGACCAAGTTAAGACCAATCTGTTAATCTTCTATGTCAGTAACCCAGTCTTTACCTTCATTGGAAAACTAGGCCTAATATATATCTTATATGGTAGCACAGAATGAATTTTACTCTTGAAAATACCTTACTGTTTTAACTGTAGCATGTTACTGACAGTAAAGATCTAAAGCCTGACATGTTAAAGGTGGAGGTGTTTATGCATTTGAGCTATCCACATGTCCACAGCACTACCAAGAAATTGTTATCCATTTCCATTCTACATGTACTAGCCATTTGATACCATGCCCAGAATGCTGAAGCCTAGATTGGAATCTTAGCGCTAGCCTTTTCCAAACTACACTTTCACTTGCATCTTGAAACTGAAGAAACTGAAATACGAGTCAACACATAATTAGCCAAGCACCTACTATGTGCCAGGCACTATTCCAGGCATTGAAAGTGTTTCAGGCAAGTGGTTATTCAAAAACTCAATGTTGTTTGTGTGTTTATTGCTGCTATTTTAATTTTGGACGTAACTTCTTTCTTGAAGCAGTCGTTGTTAGTTTTAGATATTTTAACTGTAAAACTTGATAGATTCTTAGAATGTGTATATTTACAGACTTACTTTTACAGTTGTCATATTCTTCCCAGAGAGGTAGTTTCCCTCTTAATAAATTTTAAAATCTTACCCTGTTTTGTGTACTTACTTTCTAGGCCTAACCCCTATTCAGACTCTATCATAAGCTGTAAACTCAGATGTTTTCTGGAGCTAAGCAGGTTTCCTAAGTATTTGAAGCAGGCCAGAGTGAGTTAAGAGCAAGTGGTAGTGTCTGAACCAAACTAAAAATTCATGCCCACCCAGAAACATTAAAAAAATTTTTTTTAAATTTCAGATTAATGTAAGAATACATAAAATTATTATTTGTGCTTGTCAGGTAAAGTCCAGGTTGTATTTGAGTGCTTCACCCAGGACCATATACCCCTCCATCGTGCCCATTAGGTAGGAGCTTACTGAGTCCCCCCTTCCATCCCCACTTCTTGAACATGATTGTGTTTTTCTCTTGTATTGTAAAAAAATATTTTAAACCTGTATCAGACACATCTAGAGGCCAGAGGTTCCCACAGTCTGAATGTCTAGATAAACAGTTTTTAAACCATTGATTTTTGAAATATGAAAGTATAGAATCAGTTTATTTATAACAGTAATTGTTTTGAAATATGAAATGCTGAGTAAAAACTTCGTAGCATAAACCCACACAGTTATATGCATGGAGTGGAGTGTGTGTTGTTTGGTTTTGTTTTTAAGTTTTCTCTTTGTGAGAGAGAAAAAAAAAAAAAAAGAAACAGAATGTCCATAGGTGGACATTCAGCAAAATTTACAGGTGGTCTTAGGTTGAATGAATAATCTTCAGAGGATCCATGAATGTCTTATAACTTCATTTTCTAAAGTATTGTGTCTGTGTATTCCTATGCCTAACTTTCTTTTTAATGCAGGCTACTTTTTAGAGCAGTTTTAGTTTCACAGCAAAACTGAGAGGAAGGTACACAGATTTCCCATCTGCTCCTTGTGCCCCACATGTGCACAGTCTGCCCCCCCCCATATCAATATCCCCCAACAGAATGGTACATTTGTTACAATTGATAGTATGCTTAGCTTTTTATTTTCTATAATCTCAAGGGGAATGTCTACTTAAGAATATCGTTTAATATGCTTTGAAAGCCCCACCTTACATGGTACTTGATAGCTTTAACAAATTTTTTTAATATTACTAGTTTATTAGTAATATTCTGAAATGATTGAGGAGTATAACACAATAACTTAAAAAAGTGTTTTTAAATCCAAGTAATTTAGTTCACAGTTTTCTCCCCACCACTCTCCTCCCCCTCTTCCCCTTCTTCTTTGAAGTTATTTGGTCAACCTACTCAACCAGTTTGTATTTTATCCAAAGCTGCTTTCCTTCCTACAGGGAGCATTACATTCTTAATTTTATTAATATGTTTTTTGTAGTTAGAGTAGCATATCAGTCACGTTGGGCTGCTGTAACAAAATACCACAGACTACATGGCTTAAACAACAAATTTATTTCTCACAATTTGGAGAAGTGGTACTGCCTAAACCACCTCATATGAGGTGGTTGGGAGAATATGAGCTCATTTTGATTCCATTAAATGCAGAATTGTTTGTATGTATGTATTTTTCTAGGGGAGAAATTATATGACTGTTAACAGTGGTAAGTTTCTGGGAGTGGCATTGGCCATGGTGGCAGTTAAGATTGTAAACCATTGACTGCGCGGGGGGTATCAGTTTATTCATTATAGAGTCTGGCATCTAAAGAGTTTTGGCATTTTTAATAAGAAAAATATATTGGTAACTGAAGAAGAGAGCCTGGGTAACCTAGGACCTGGCACCATTCAAACTGGTACAATGACGTTCTCTGTTCTTTATATATAAAGAAGCTAGGCTAGATTGCTGAGAGCTCCGGGGCCCAGCTCTGGACTGGACTCAACTTTTGGTAAGATCTAATCAAATCTTTTAACAGAGTCCAGGAGCTATAGGAAACAACATTTCTATTTCTGTGACTTATATGGAAATGAATAGATATGGTGGTTTTAAAAAAATCAAGTTAATAATGTTAGATAAAAAAATTTTTTTTACTGTGGAACTTTTTTTTTTTTTTTTTATTCGTAGCAGTGAACATTAATACTATCATGGGGTACAGTGTACTGTTTCTGTATACAATTTGAAATACTTTCATCCAGCTGGTTAACATAGCCTTCATGTTTTTTCTTAGTTATTCTGTTAAGACATTTATATTCTACATTTAGAGAGATTCACATGTACCCTTATAGGATGAACCATAGGCGTGATCCCACCAATCACCATCCCTCCACCCACTGATAGATGAAAATTTAAAAATAACCTTTTTGGTTTTTTTCTTTGAGACAGAGTCTCAGTCTATGCCCTGGGTAGAGTGCCATGGCATCATAGCTCAGTTGGGCTCAAAAGATCCTCTTGCCTCAACTTCCCGAGTAACTGGGACTACAGGCACCTGACACAATGCACATCCCCAACTAATTTTTCTATTTTATTTTTGTTAGAAATGAGGTCTCGCTCTTACTCACACTGGTCTTGAACTCCTGAGTTCAAGGGATTCTCCCGCCTTAGCCTCCCAGAGTGCTAGGATTACAGGCATGAGCCACCGTGCCCAGCCTAGGTTTGAATAATTTTTATAGGATAAAAAATTATATGTAATTTGGGTGGCACCTATGGCTCAGTGAGTAGGGTGCCGGCCCCATATACTGAGGGTGGCAGGTTCAAACTTGGCCCCAGCCAAACTGCAACAAAAAATAGCCGGGCATTGTGGCGGGGGCCTGTAGTCCCAGCTACTGGAGAGGCTGAGGCAAGAGAATCACCTAAGCCCAGGAGTTGGAGGTTGCTGTGAGCTGTGACGCCACGGCACTCTACTGAGGGTTACAAAGTAAGACTGTTTAAAAAAAAAAAATATATATAATTTATTGTTTTAGTTGTGTTGTTTTAAGAGATAGAGTATAAACTATTTTTTTTCTGTTTAGTACTGACATCTTCAGAGTGAACATTTTTGTTAGTTTTTGAATAGAAAATGTGTGTTCTGTAGTAATAGTGGTGACTTGGCAAAAGTCCACTTCTAAACATTGTTGGAGTAATTAAATTTAAAAGCATAATGAATTTTGGCTTTTCTTTCTGTACTTATGGCAAATATATCTTCCACACACATACATATAAAAAATAATAAAAAATAAAGTTATATACCAAATTCTCATTCTTGTTTTTAAAAAAGCTTTATAGAATTTACATAATAAAACCACAACATAGAATTAATAATTTAGAATGTGATTGAAATGAAAAGCCTGTGAATCTTTTTATTTTTTTACTTTAAAAATTTTGATATTCATGTTAAAAGAATCTTTGTCTTCTTTCAGATAAATTTGCGCCTCATCTTGGTAAGTGGAAAAACAAAAGAGTTCCTGTTTTCTCCTAACGATTCTGCTTCTGACATTGCAAAACACGTGTATGACAATTGGCCAATGGGTGAGTGGTGTTTTCTCTTGAGGATGAATAATGTTGATTCTTTGTACCCTGCCTGTTTCCCAAATATTTTGAAAAAGTTATAAGTATACACAATTTAAAAGGACAACCAAAAACTGAGGGTAGAAGGCTCAGACTTAAAGGGGACAACTGTATTCCCTTTTAATTTTTTAAAGATTTTGTTTAACATTTTGCTCTTCAGCTATCTAATTTCAAAATGATAAAGTAATAGTATGCAAAATCCCTACTTTTGCCTTAGAACTGTTTTAAAAATATAAGTGAGAAATTGTTTTTAAAAACAAAAACACAGGACAGTTATTACACATATAATTTCATATAAATAAACCTATTTAAGAAAAACACAAAGTAAAAGAAAAATGCTGTCTTTAACAGATAAATTAAGCTTGATACAAAAGTTAATTTCTAATTCTTGTTATTTCATGTGTTCCCTGAACTACTTACTTATAATGTCAAGAAAATGTGAAGTTCATTTCTGCATTGCATTTTCAAGCCAGCATCCCTAACAGTTTGGGAGCGTGTTTGTGATATTCTTCCATTCTCTGGTTCTTTTCTGTGTAATTAGACTGTTTTCTTTCTTGCAAGTGAATCTTTATGTTCTTCCTTGAACTTTCCCCAAGTATCATCTTGCCTCTTTTTATGTCATATACCATAGTGATACAACTGTTTTAGCTGATTTTACTTAATTTTTACTAGTAGAAGCAACTTTCAAGGTTGAGGTTTGTTTCAACAAAGAACACAGTGTATACAAAATAAAGTGTATACAAGCACCAATTAGACTAGTGTTTCTCAAACTTAAGTAATACATGGAAACTTTTTATAGGAAGAAAATTCTTGTAGATCCTTAGTGCTGACTTAAATTATTTTTATTATAATGTGTATTTTTAATATAGAAACATAAAACCTAATTGAAACTCTTTATTGTGGCTTGGTGCCTGTAGCTCAGTGGTTAAGGCTCCGAGTTCAAAAACAACCTGGCCTGCTAAACAACAATGACAAATGCAACAAAAATAAAAAATAGCCAGGTGTTGTGGCTGGCACCTGTTCTCCCAGCTACTTGGGAGGCTGAGGCAAGAGAATCGCCACCGAAGCTCAAGAGTTTGAGGTTGCTGTGAGCTGTGACGCCACTGCACTCTACCAAGGGTGACATAGCAAAACTCTGTCTCAAAAAAACCCCCAAAACTCGTTATTCTTATTAATTCATATACAACCATAAAACTAAAGAGATCTATGACAAAAATGCAAATAACTCTAAAACCAGTAATGTTCACAATTTAACATCATTAATGTGCTTAGATGATGTATTTTGCCAAAGCTAACTCACTGCTTGCATCGTGCATCCTGTTGAGTTTGGCATGTCTATATTATTACGTGGTGTCTAATAACCAAGTTATCTGCAGATTCACCACAAAACCTTTATTCGTACAGTGTAACAGATTGTCATTCAGTCTTCTCTTAGAAAGAATGCATCACCTACCTCTTAGGTCAACCTCTGTTCTTATCTCATTAGCCTCTTGACAATTAAGACATTGATTGCCACCTTGGGAAAAAAATTTTTTCCTTGGGCCCACGGTGTTATATTACAAAAGTAGAATAAAAACATTAAAACCAAAGGATCCTTTTTAATTAAATGTCCATGTGTGAATTAATGTGCAACTCACACAGAGTTAGAATCGGTTTTGACACTGCATGCCGTGTAAGTTGTATATGACTCAAAACATACTTCCTGAATTTGTTTCTGAGATTTGAGTCTTTTGTAATTCTAAAAGTATTTAATTGTATCTGGAGTGGACCTTCAGTGGTCCTGGATGACAACCTCTGAATCATGCCCCCAAGTATGTGCAACAATGGCACCATTTCATGCAAAGAGCAGATTTTGTTAAAAGAGCCACCAGGGCAAAATGTGTAATTGGACGTTATGGTTATCAGAGAACACAGTCTAGTGCTTGTGACACGCTTGGAGTAGGTTGACAGAAGGTGGAGGTGATGGACCGATTGACAATGAACAGAGGCGGTTTCACAGCTTCATGAGGCCTCAGGCTCAAAGCTAGAGTGAGTTAAATACAACTCATATGGCAGTTAAAATGTTCGAGTACTGACTGCTTGGTGGTAGAGCAATCATAAACCTAAGGCATATTCTTGGGTATGAAAATCCCAAGGTTCCATTTGATTATAAAGTAATGATGCCTAACGTAAATCATGTAGATAACCTCTTGTAGATTATCATTAAAACAATAATATAATTTAAATTTTTGAGACTATGTCTTTGTGGGTATATAGGCTTGAATTCAAGAAAAACTAATTTAGATCAATACCTATATTTTGCCATGTATAATGTGTACCTGTGTACAGTGTACACCCATGTTTTGGGCCCTTTCAGGAAACTTTCAGGAAAAATAAAATCTTTGGTTTTATTTTTTAAAGGAAGGTAGAAGTGACCATGCAGCGGTGCCTCCTTCTCTTGTAAGAGGCATAAGGTGCAGAGCCAGCTGCAGCAGAGAAGTGGGGAGTAAGCCCAGGCAGCCAGTAAGAGTGATCTGGGTGACCCGAGCATCTGACCTCCCACAACTGCCCCTCCTTGCCCACCCTCATCCCCATATCCTCTCATTTCTTATTCCTACCCATCTCCGCCAGTGAGAACATAACCGTGGCTACTCCATTGACAACCCTAGTGGGCTTATTTCCTGGGAAACTGGTGTGTGGTGCCAAGGCTGACCCTGTCTGCTCTGGGCTTCTGACCAGTAGGTTCCTTCCTGCCTTTTCTAGGCTACCTGTCTCTCATGCAACTGGCCCCATTCTTAGGACTCTAGGAAACTGCAGTGACGAGGACACCTTCCCTGGTGATATCCCAGTGAAGTGCTCTGCATTTACATTTCTGTTTAGCAACTAGACTGTGATCTCCTTGAGCCATCCAGTCCTTGGGCGCTCAGTAACATCAGAATGAACGATAGCAGCCTTTCCCAAGCTTGTAGATCCTGTCAGTCACCCAGGATATTGGTTAAAATGAGACTCTGAACCACACCTAAATACATTGAATCTGCTCTGCTGGAGAAAGACCTGGGTATCCATTCCATTAAAAAGTATTCTACGTGCTTCTTACTGGCAGGTTTGGGAAATTACATCAACTCAACACCTTGGGGATTCAGATAAGTCATAGGCTCAAAATGGGCTATGTATATACTTAGGTACAAGCTTTGCTATTAGGTACCTTCACTGACAGAAACTTCATGGGAACTGAAGCCCAGGGTCACAATAGAGGGCTACTAGGAGAACAGGGTCTTAAAACCCAGGTTTCTCAGACACCAGCTGAGAGCTCTTCCTCCTCAGGAAAGAAGAATATGGTGTCCCAGGGGCCTTAGAATGGGCCTCTCATGCAAGAGGATGAGGCAGTCTGGAAAGGGAAGAGATCTGCCATCCGGCAGGGCCAACCCCAGCACTTCTCACACAAACTTCCCAGGAAGTGAGCCTACCAGGGTTCTTAGTGGACTGGCCATGACCAAGTTCCTACCTGTGGACATGGGTGAGAGAGAATAGGAAATGAGAGGATGTGGGAAGTGAGTGGGTTGGGAGGGGACAGCTATGGGAAGTCAGGTGCTCAGGTCACCCAGACCATGCTCACTTGCCATCTAGGCTAGCTCCCAGCTTCTTCACAGCAGAGCGGCCAGCTCCACTCCCCTTGTGAGAAGAGGAGGCACCACTGTGTGACCATTTCCACCCTCCTTTCACCAGGGTCCCAGTGTGAACCACTGAGTTGCTGTCAATGGTGTGCCTGTTTCCAAGATGGCAGCAGCAGAGGCAGCCAGGAATGGGTTGGGGGTAGCACGAAGGGGCACATTACTATATTCTAGGATATTATTTTGCATATAGATATTGTTATTGCTTTCTAGAATTACACTTTTAATGCATAAGCATAAGTAAAAGAATTAACATTTATGTATGGAATCAGTACTACCCATGTATAATATACATCCTTACTTTTCCCTCAAACATGTGGACAAAAAAATGTGCCTTGTACATGGCAAAACAGAACTACTACCTCTTATTGGTAACCAAAGGGCTAGTTTCTCAAGGAAAAACTGAAGCTAAAGAAGCTTAGCTTCTAATTGCTAAGAAGGAAACTCAGGAAAGCTAAAGTAAACTAGACTTGGGCTCTAAGAATATTAACTATTCTTTACAACCAGCTAAACATTTTCAAATACCTATCTTAAAGTGATGTTATACTATGATACAAAAGATTAGTTTTGTGAGGTTTTTGGAGCTAGGAGAAGGAAGGTTGTCAAGATAGCGTTTGGGGCATGGATATTATAGAAAATACAACACAAGACAAAAAAGGGTAATCTCAAAAATTTATTTAGGCAGTATTATAACTTGAGATAGAAGAAATAGAGTAAAACCTCTGTAAGTTGACCACCCAGAGAGCTGTAACAAACTGGTCAGCATATTGGGTGGTCAACATAAGGAACTTCCATTGAAAACATACGATGCATGTCCAGTCTGTGAATATTAGGTCAATTAAGGTGGTCATTGGAGGGAGGTGGTCAACTATGGTCAACTGTTCTACTTTTACTTTTGTTATTTGGCCTAGATAGTCAAGATTGGTTTTAATTTCTTATGCTAAATAATGGTAAGAATCAAGCGCAGGTCTTTGCTATAAATATTAACCCCAAATGAACAGATCATCTGTCAGTATTGAAAATTGATTGTGCCAATCAGATATTACTATTATGTTCACAAAAAAAGGTTTTCATTCCCAGTCTTTACTCAGTTGCCAGAAATACTCTGCCAATTCCAGACACTGCAGAGAGTAAAAAGAAATGATTTAATTTTTATTTTATATAAAATATTTAAATTAAGAGGTAGGTCTCTCTTACATAATGTTCTAACGGTCCGTAAATGTAAATGTTTATTGGTGCTAATAACAAAGGCATAGTAAATATTAATGGGGGAAAATACTTTGTGTATTGTACTTTTGTAAGGAATTAGTTTTCCTTAGGATACTTTCATATAATTTAGCGGAAATATTGCTGAGATGTGCAGTAGTCTGACACATAGCTATTATTGGGTCAGAGGTCAAAAGAAATCTAGTGTGTTAATAATAACTGAAATCCTTCCTTTGAGCTAGGTACTAAGGTCTCTAAATTTCAGATCCTCAGAGAGGGGAAGGGACATAGCATATTAAACCAATGAAATACATTGAAATCATTAGACTCTGGATAAGATAGAGAAATACTGAAATATATGGCTTCATGTTTCTGCATCTCAAGAAAAATACTTCAGAAATTTTTATAATATTAGTCTTTGTTTCCTATGAATTAAACAATTACTGCCATTTTTGCCTTTGTTATCTGTGGAACACTTGCATCTTGACCAGAAATGCCCTATCTTAAACAATAATTTTGGAGGCAGTGAACTCAAAATAATTCATACAGAAATGTTACAGGCTTATTTGGTCTTTCTTAGAAGAGGGACCGGGGAGCAGGGAAGTCAGAAAGGCAAGAAAGGCTTGAACACTCAGAAAAAGGTCAAAAGACCAAGTCTCTACTTAGCTCCTTTGTCTTCCCTCACTCTCTTCAGAATGCTCTAAACAATTTTTTGCGTTGACAGTTACCACCTAACAATAGGAGCATCTATAGGAAACAAACACATCAGATGAAAATTATTAACAGAAATGATAAAGGAATTCTCAGATCCTTATCAAAACTACAGCTTAAATTCTTACATTTGTATGTACAGGCTAATGAAAATTGCTTTGTCCTTAAACCATTATTTTAATAGTGTTCCATATTTTACTGTAATGTAGGTTACATGTTAAAATTGAATATTCTGTTCCTCATTCTGCCTTCAGGTTTGTCTTTTGGTTTTCTTGGTGTACTTTCCTGGACTCCACAGCTGGATAGTATCTTCTAATGTATATTATTTAATTTATTCTGAGTATGCATTTTGGGTAAAGTGAAGTAAAGTTGTGCCTTCAGTACTACTTATCAATTAGCTTCAAAAAGACAATATGAAAAATAGCATTATACAAAAGTATAATTTTTTAATTCTTAGTATCAATATATTAATTTTCTTTTAAAATCTGTTAAGCCTGTTTCTAGCCTTGAATATACATTTTAACAGGTAGATGTTATTAATTACTGGTATTTGAAATTAATTTTCAAAGATTTCTCTTTACTAGATAGATTTTTCCCAACTCATTTGTTTTAATTTTATAAACTTCAGGACAACAATTTGGCAAGTTTTAGTATTCTTTAAGAAGCAGAAACTAGTCTTTTTACAGCTTTGGCTGTTTATCAAAAATAAGCAAGAACCAAGGCTGCAGTAAATGTATGAGTAGTGACCGTCTGGATTAGCAGGAAGCTGTAAGGGTCTTCTCTGATAAACACTCACTAATTTGGATCTGAATTTTTAAAATAATGCAGTATTACCTTAATTATGTGTTGAAATGCCCCTAACTCATTCACTAAATTCTTTACAGACTGGGAAGAAGAGCAGGTCAGCAGTCCAAATATTCTACGACTTATTTATCAAGGACGATTTCTACATGGAAATGTCACATTAGGAGGTAATAGTCACCTTCGTGATGTGATTTAATACCTCTCTCTGTCAATGTAGCATTATTTGTTTTAAATGCTAAAGTCTTTAAATTTACTAGGAAGGGAAATTCTAACTCAGATTTTTGCCTATTTTTGGTAGGTCTACTCCTTGACATCTTGCATTCTGTTAAATTTAGCACTGCAATAAGAGTTTATTACCTTGTGAAATAAACTGTTCAAATATAGATAGGAGTTGATATGTACTATTTTACAAATGTAATGGTATTGTATGTCTGGGTGATATAATTTAGATGTAATATTTCTAACTTAAAACTGAACACAAAAAATGGGAAATTTATGATAATTGGTTTTCAAATATTATATGAAAAGATGTTTTTAATATGACTCCACCTGATATAATTGTCAATCATATGAGAATAAAAGTAAACGACTGACACTGGAACAGTAGTGACTGGAAGAGCAGATTGGGGGACCAGACCATCTAGTTGTGTACAAGCTTCATTGTTTACTGGCTGTGTAACCTTGGGCAAGTGACTGTGTTTCAGTTTGCTCATCATAAAATGTGATAACAATAGTGCCTACTTCATAGGTTGGGGAGGAGTAAGTTAATTTCCATGATGGGGACTGTCCAGAAAGTATCCAGCCATGTGTGTCTCTCTCTACTTTTCATGCTGTGTGGCTGGATATTTTCCAGACAGCCCTAGTATATTCAAAGTACTTGAATGTACAAACAGTGCTTGGCACATAGTAAACACTTTGTTATTATTGTTCTTTATATGTGACTGGAGAAATGTAGCTCAATAGTGCCCCCTTATGGGACACATTTTCTACCATCAACAGGGTTTATTTTCTTTTCAGAACATGTATTTCAGATATATTCAAGTAATTGGAAATTTATAGGCAAACGAAATGATCTATTTAAATATATCTTTATTTCAAAATAGGCTGACCTTTTTCCTCTAAACTTAACAGTGAAACATTTAAACCTGTTTTTTCTTAAAGGTAGAATATTTTTAGGTATTCATTTAGCATATATTTATTGAATTTTCCTTATGTATCAGCACTGTGCTGAACACCTGGGGATATAGGGTTGCCTAAGATAGAATCTCTTTCTTCAGGATGCTCTGATATTACTTAGGACAGAAAGATAAAAATTACTGTGTGATAAAGGCTAGAGTAGATGATAGCAAGGGATTTTTATAACAATACCAAAGTCAAAACATTTCAGGATTAATCGCACACATAACCAAGTTTTTAGTAGCAGTGCTACAACTGGTCTAAAAAATCAACTGTCTATTATAAGATATTTTCTGTTTTAAAATAGAGGTTTTTTGGTTTGTAGGGTTTTTTTAATAATACCTTTTGTACAGATAGAAAAATACCTTTTGTAAAGCCCATCCTTAATGTAAGAATTTACTGTTAGTTCTCTGGCTGTATTGTATATTCATTAAAGATGGGGCCATGTTTGGGTCTTTTTTTGATTGTTTATGGCTCACCCAAGATCTTGGGTGAATTAAAATTTATAAATATTAATTGAATTTAATCTGTTGACTAAAATGATTAGATTTTGAATTATCCATTTTCCTTTGAATATTGATCCATGTGAGCAGTTTCCCACCAACTCCATTTCTTTTTTTTTTTGAGACAGAGCCTCAAGCTGTCCCCCTGGGTAGAGTGCCCTGGCATCACAGCTGACGGCAACCTCCAACTCCTGGGCTTGGGCAATTCTCTTGCCTTCGGCTCCTGAGTAGCTGGGACTACAGGCACCCGCCACAACACCCGCCTGTTTTTTTTTGGCCAGGGCTGGGTTTGAACCCACCACCTCCAGTATATGGGGCTGGCACCCTACCCCTTTGAGCCACAGGCACCGCCTACACCTGGCTATTTTTCATTGCAGTTTGGCCGGGGCTGGGTCCGAACCCGTTACCCTCAGTATATGAGGCCAGCACCCTATCCACTGAGCCACAGGCACTGCCCCGACTTAGTGAAATTTTTAATATGACAAAGTCTTGTTCACATTTTAATGTTAAATCAGTCCAGGATCCAAAATAGGCTCTCTCTTTTTTTTTTAATCATGCGTGTAAATTTATGGGCTTGTGCTTGGTTTGAACATCAGAGGTTATAAGTATAGACCAAATAATGGCTGGCCAACTTTAGGTGTAATGGAAACCTATCCTGATTATTTGGAATAGTACTAATATAAAATAATTAGGACTCTTTAATCTACATGCTGACTATAGAGCAAAATTCAAAGAGAAAGTAGCCAAGGATCATACTTGCTATGTAATGATTTTGAGCCTTACTTAAATTTGTCAGTAGTGAAGAAAAAGTAGTTTATGCTGTCAGTACATCAATTGTGTTTCCTCACAATTACAGAAACAACTCTAGAAGTTAGCTGTACCCACTGCTTCTAATTTTATACATAGAATAACAAAGATTTGTCATTAAACTTGGTGTTTACATTTGCTGTAGTGGTTTGATACATGAGTGTGTGTTACACTCTATATCCAAAATATTTCATAAGTTTCATTGCTTATGAGCGAGAAATAAGTTATACAGGCTTGATTATGAAATAATTAGTAATGTTTAAAATTAAGTTCATCATTTTTTCTATTTCTATTAATACTAGTAGTAGCCTGTTCAACATGATCATTTTATTCAGTAACTGACAAATAATTAGACATAAAAACAAATGCCTCTTAATCTAAAGTTTTTCCTACTCTAGAAAAAGTATTCTTTTTAAAATAAGGGCCAGATGCGGTGGCTCAAGCCTGTAATCCCAGCACTCTGGAAGGCCAAAACAGGTGGATTGCCTGAGCTCACAGGTTGGAGACCAGCCTGAACCAGAGCAAGACACACACAAACACATACACACACCCATCTCTAAAAATAGCCGAACAGTTGTGGCAGGTGCCTGTAGTTCCTGCTACTCTGGATTGTGGCAGGTGCCTGCAGTTCCTGCTACTCTGGAGCCTGAGGCAAGAGAATCACTTGAGCCCAAGAGTTTGAGGTTGCTGTGAGCTATGGTGCCATGGCACATACTGTGGGCAACAAGTGAGACTCTGCCTCAATAAATAAATAGAATATTTTTAAATTCTTTTTCTTTCCTCTTCTAAAAGTGATCTCGGATAATAACCAATTATTGCATTCTCTCATACTCTTTTCTTATATAATGTCGATATGTGCATTAAGTTAATGGCCATAGCTGGAAAGAATAATTTTTAAATTGTGACGTTATTTCTGATAATATTAATCTAATTTCATTTTGTGAAGGAGGTGTCTATTTGGTAAGAAGTTAATCTATTGAGGAAATTATAAAAAAAAAAGCAAATCAATTTTTAAAAAGGTTTTAAATGTTGTTAGTGATTCCAGTAGGTTGATGGATATATAACAAAGTGTCTTCTACTTTTCACATAGCATTAAAACTTCCTTTTGGCAAAACAACAGTGATGCATTTGGTGGCCAGAGAGACATTGCCAGAGCCAAACTCTCAAGGTAAGCTGTGCCTGGAGAAGTATCTCACCTGAGGCACGAAGACAGACATTCAGAAATGGTTGGATTTTCTTGGGCATTCTGAGGGAGTGGAAGTTTACAGAGTTTATGAATAGATGTTGTCAAGCAACTAAGCAGACAGTTTTGATACATGCCAAAATTCATAGAACATTTATTAGAGCCTTTAATTTTAACAAATGCAACCATTAACAACACCCAAAACTGTTTCTTACTATAGCCCCCTCTTCCCATTTTGGCATTTTTATAAATAAGGCTTTTCTTCATTTTCCCTAGGTCAAAGGAATCGTGAAAAGACTGGCGAGAGTAATTGTTGTGTAATCCTGTAGTTGCTGTCTGCTAAGAGTGATGTGATATATCGTCTTTGTCTTTCATGCTGCTGGGACAGAAGAGACCCAACATTGCTCAGAAACCTTTAAGAACAGTCTGCCTGTAAATCCATGGAACTGAACTATCACACGAACACTGTCATTTTTTCTCATGAAAGTAAAAAGAACCAAGAACGTTTTTCACTATTTTTTTTTAATTTCTTGTGTTTTTGCTTACGTTGAGCAGTTTTGAAACATACTGGTTTTTGAATGCAGTCAATCTCCAGGGGGAAAGTTAACAAGCTATCTTTCATAACAGAAATCATTTTGCTGCCACAAAAATCTTCATCACCAGAACTAACAAATCAAGTGTTCCAAATATAATTTGCACTAAAAAAGATTGGCATTATTTTCCTCATCAGCAGAATTTATAACAGTTTATGGTACCTAGAAATACATATTTAATTCTGTACTAGAAAACACTCAGCATTTAATACGTTAATTACTGGGCCAACTTGAGAGGAAAGAAAAATGGAAAAGCAACTAAAATGTTGGGTGAATTCTACCAAAGTCAGCCATGGTGGCTGCACTGGCACAGAATACTAAACTGAGTGTGACTATTTTCACTGCAACAAATGAAAAAACAAATCAAAATGTGCCTGTTGTTTAAAGCACTCAGTAGAGGGCTGATGAAACTATTTTTCCTTTAAGACATGCACTCTTGAGTCCTACAGTAACTGAGTGCTTGGTCACACAGCACAAGAAGGGGTGAGAGTGCGTCTCCTAGCCTTAATGTGGGAGGGGAATTCCAGTTGCTCATAGGCTTTCATTATTGTGCAGAAATATTAGAAAACCTCATTGACTGATAAATAAATTTTGTGTACTTGAATATCAGCAAAGTGAAGTTTTTCATAATTATTGCTCATCTGTAACCATGTCCAGTGTCACACTTACTCGTAAGAGAGTTAGGATGAATTCTTAAAATTAAAAAAAAAACTTCATAGTACTAATTTTATTTCTTTATGTAGCTTGCATTTGGTATTAGTGCTTGCAATTGTATTAAAATCAAAAGCTGATTTTTACAGCATACATGATTAAGGATGCCATTCTTTTATTTCATACCAATTTAAAGATTGATATGCTAAAAACAATTTGCACAGCACTAAAGCATGAGCTAGTTTCATCTAAATCTGTAAAAATATGAAAGATTTTATATTTTTTCACTGGGAAGAAATTCTTCCTGGATGAAATTACAAATACATGTAGAATATATTTAATAAAAGACTTATAAAATACCTAACTTTAGATCTTAAATATAGATTGGCGAGTAGTGTATAGAACAATATTCCATATAAATAACTTTAGCCTTTATAAAAATGAAGTTGCAGGCTGACATTATGTTCTCTACTTACTAAATGTCCACCGTCCCTACAAACATGAAGTGTAAATGGTTTCAAAAGTCAGCGTTGTTTAAATGTAATCAAGTTATTTTATTCATTGTTAATGCTTTGATGAAAAGGCTTTATATGCAGTAGATCTACAAAAATATTGTTCATACTGATCACAATTAAATTTGTATAGAGCAGAGTTTTAAAATGAATGTAAATAGCACTAAACATTTTCTTTCTGCAACCTGTACTTAGATTCTTTCTGTAAACTAAATAAAAAAAATTGTAGTGTGTTTGTTAGTATTTTAAAGGTCTCGATTAGGTTAATTGTTTGAGCACTGTCCCATCCATGTTAAAATTATTGTCTACTTTTATTTCTGAATCTTTTAAAATTCATTAAATTCTGTTGTTTAATATTCATTTAAAATTATATTGTTGGTTTGGGGAACATTCCCAATGTATCTTTGATATTTAACCTGGTTAATTTGTGCAGAGTCTCAACAATGAATAAAATTATGTAGTCTTTGTTATCACTAAAATGTTATATTTGAGAGATGTTAAGTATTTATATGCTTCATTGACTAGCTAAAACATGAGTTCTGTTAGTGTTGACTAAAGAAGAATGGTAGTTACCTAATTGGTCAATTAAACAATTTGTGACTCTATTCTTTTGTAAAAGAAACTGCTGGTAATTATTTAATACCTATTTTAATTCTAATTACTTTTCTAATTTTCCAAAGTTTAAAGACTATCAGTTAATTCAGATTGAGTTTTTATGATGGTTAAAAATAATTTTATATTGGTTTTCAATTTATTTTTCTGTGTATTTTCACATATATTTCCCTTTCACAAGAAATGTAAATCAAGCAAACTCAATTTAGGGTTTGCTTAGTGGGATTGACTGGTTTGTTAGTAGAGAAAGAATTAAGACCCTTCATATCTAATGTCATAATTGTACAAAGTAAAAAAAGAATAAAAGTAGAAGTAAAATTATATACCGAAAACACCAAAAATTTAGATGCCTTAATAGTGTATTTATGAAAATACTCAACTATCCCTTTAAAAATAATCCCTTGGACTGCCTGATGCTTAAAATACGATTCATCATGTCCAAGGCTACTTTTAAAGATTCCTCTGCCAAAAATACCAGCTCACTTACCTAAAGGTGAGAGCTGCATAGATCCAATAATGTAAATAAAGCCTGAATTATGAGCCTATACCCTGGCCCAGCACTTGGTGTCTAACCCATCTCTTTTACCTAAAGTCCTAGACTTTGTTAAGTGTTCTGGACAAGGCAAAGCTGTTCTTCTTTATTAAAGCCTCAGCATGTCTCTCCTTCATCTGAACTATTTGCTTTCTCTTCAAGATAAGTTGTATCATACCATGAAAAAGATAGAATCTAACATTGTCATTCATGTTAAATGAGATTTTCTCGTAACTAACATTTATCCTTTTAGTTTTATGAAGTCATCTTGAGCAATGTTACAATAATTTCTGTTAGCTGATTGTGGTAAACAATGTTTAATGTGAAAAGAAATTAAAACTTTCTTCATCTGTTACATTTTTCTTCTTTTAAATAACTTCCTTTCATAATTTTGATGTCTTATTCTTTATCTCTCTACTATTTCTCTCTTTTCCCCTTTCTTCGGTTAATTCATTATATTCTTTAGTAAGATTCTACATTGTGCCAGCCTTTATTCTGCAAGTATATTTTACCCAAATCAAAATCAAAAAGAGAAGTGATTGATTAAACTTGAGTATGCTTTCCTACTGTCTTTATTGGTAACTGGTGCAGGCATTCCAGTTTTTTTCCATTCTTACTTTGTAATACAGTCACTTCTTAGCAAACAAAGTGGGGGTGGGAGAAGGGCTTGAGTAGTTTCTGTACAGTTACAGTTCTGTAACTGTAGTTACAGTTGAAACAAGACTGCAGACTGCTGGCCTGTGTCTCGGCACAGTTTCTGTGGCCAAAGCTGATGGTAAATATGAGTGGCAGGTGATTGGCTGTGACAACCTGCCTGGCCTGTCCCCAGCCACTGCTTTCTTATACACAAGGAGGTTGACTGCCGAAAGACTATATGGGCAGATTTAAGTGAGAAACAACTAATTCTTAAATATCTGAGTTTGAACCAGTACTAAAATGCAAGAAACTGATTTCATTTGTTACTTTGTGGTCTTTCACAGCGATGTCAAATGTATATATTGTTAAAAATATATCAGGGGTCCTGGAACTTTTAAAACGAGGGGCCAGGTCACTGTCCCTCAGACCATTGGAGGGCTGGATTGCAGGCCCTGGGATGAATTGGCTGCTAAGCAGGACAGGCAGGGGTGGCAAAAACACCCGGTGGGCTGGATAAATGTCCTAGGCAGGCTGCACATGGCCTGCAGGCCGTAGTTTGAGGACACCTGTTTTTAATATTATGCCTCTTTTTTGAAATCATAACTTTCAAGAAATACAGAGTAGACAAATAAATGTGGCAAAAAGGAATGTCATTCTCTTTAAGGATTCAACCATTAAAAAAAGTTGGGAGGCTTGGTGCCCATAGTTCAGTGGTTAGGGCGCTGGCCACATACACTGAGGCAAGAGGGTGAAAACCCAGCCTGGGCCTGCTAAACAACAATGAAAACTGCAATAACAACAACAATAAAAAAAATAGCCGGGCATTGTGGCAGGTGCCTGTAGTCCCAGCTACATGGGAGGCCTAGGCAAGAGAATCGCTTAAGCCCAAGGGTTTGAGGTTGCTATGAGCTGTGACAGCACAGCACTTTACCAAGGGTGACATAGACTCTGTCTCAAAAAAAAAAAAAAAGGAGTTAGATAAATGCACACATCTAAAATGGCTCTGGAAGTGATTTGTTTTTAGTCTTAGAGGGTCTAACTGGTTTTAGAATATAGTTATTACCCATTCAAACATTATTTAGCATCTGCCTTTTATTTACTACAAATATTCCTTGACACATATTTGATGTCAGGGCAGTCTGCAATATAGCAGGAGAAATTTTGACGTGGTTAATACAAGGAAGCAGCAGAATCCAGGGAGGAATGGTGACTGGCCACAAGCAGAGCTGGAATCGAGGTTCCTTGTGGACATTACATAGAGCAGCGGTTCTCAACCTGTGGGTTGCGACCCCTTTGTAACGGTGAAAATACATCGTGGCATTAGGAAGATTGAGAACCACTGACACGGAGAAACACGATGTGGGCAGTTGTTCAGTTTAGAGAAGAGCAGCTTTTCCCCTGCGTTCTGGAGCTCCCCTCACTCTCCTCTTCCTTAGCATGCGGTTTTCCTGGAGCCATCCCTTAAGTGAATTTCACTAATCAGTGTGCCGTCTCACCTTGTGTTTCTCAGAAGCATCTTTTTTAATCTGATAATTTTAACACATCTCCATTTTGACCGATAGTATTTTCAGTCTTCAGGTTTTGGAATACCACAAGAGAACAGCTGGGCTTTGAAGTCAAGCCCAACTTTGCTCCGGGTGACTTTGAACAAGTTACTTAATATTTGAGCTTCAGTTTTTTTCATATATAAAATATAATACCAGTTTTAGAGGGCTAATGTAAGGATTATTTTTAAATACTTAAGAGTGCTACTTTGCCCAGGAACTCGTACAACCAACTGGCAAACATGCCAAATGGTTTTATATTGGAAATCAAGTACTAGGCAGTGGCGTACTCTAAACTTCATGGAAGTAGCCTACATAAAGGCCAGAGAAAATATGTGCATGATGCTATGTTCAAAGACATTTAAAAGCAAGCTAACAGGAAGTGAGGGGATCTCAGAAATAAGCTTTGGGATAAAAGAAAAATAGAGAACCCAATAATTCAATGGGATGTGGCCTCAGATGTATACAGTGTACTAGGTTATAGAGCTTGAATGAAACCAGAATAGGACGAATTAACATGGGAACATAACTATGTCACAATTGGAGATGGGATTTGTTACTAAGATAAAAAGTACCTTTTTCAGAGGATAGGTCTAATGCAGGTGGGAGCCAGCACTGTCAAGAAGACACATAAGGAAATTGTAGAGCTGAGAGGGGGAGTAATCTGAAGGATCATGAAAAAAGACCAAAATATGATAGTGGGATTGTGCTGTACATTTCTTCAGATTAAAGCTATCAATTTCTTTCCTGAATCTGGAGCAGGAAAACACTGAAGGCAGATACTACCGTGAGGCAGTAGTGCGTGCGTGCAGGACCTTGCTGGGTGGCTTATTTGTGAACATCTGATTAGCTCTTGACTTGCTGGGTTAACAGAAGTAACAAAACTAATCCCTCCCTGGGATTCATTTTAACCCAGAGGAAAAGAATGATTCTAGTGGAAATGTTAGGAGCCGATAGACGAAATAGCTGTGCCCTTAGATTTGTGTAATAATAAGGTAGACACTGGTGTTTATTTCTCCAGCACTCCCCCACCCCCACCTTTTTCTTGGTGGCTAACTGACTTGAAGGGGATGGGACTGTTCCCACTTCCCACTGCGGTACTGGGAAATACAACTCTATCCCAGCCCTAGGGTGAAGCTGGTGCCCTATGGTGGGACTGCTTTAGGGGTGACCTTGGGACCCCATCCTGGCAATTAGACTTGAGGGAACTCGGCCTGGGTATTTCTAGGGAAAGTTCCTTCACTCCCAAAGGGTCTATACAAGAGACACTTTGCCTCTGCACATTGTTTTGTCTGGATGTGGTATTGAAACTGTAATAGCCACCTTGAGCCCCAGAGGGGAGGTTGCCTGAGGGCAAAGCCAGCATACCTGCGGAGTAGAGGGGTGTGAGCAAACCTGCCCCCAGGAGCTGCTGATTTTGCCCAATGGGTTTCTTGGCAGGTAATCTATTCACTGAAGTTTTTTCCTCTTTCCAGTCAAAAGCATGATATACATAGAAGTGCTAGGCTTCAACATCCACTTGAAACTATGAAATTACAGAAAATAGGAAGGTGATTCTGTGTGTTCAGAACTCTCAAAAACACACCTCTGGCAGTATAGTCCCAAATTATCTTGATGATAAAGAGAAGAGACATCTAAAGAGACCATTGTGGCTGCAAGTCAGTCTTTAACCTCATAATTTTAAAAGCAGAAAATGGAAGTTTGGGTATTAAATCAATGATGAATATATATATATGTGTGTGTGTGTGTGTGTGTGTGTGTGTATATATATATATATAAATTTTTTTTTCCTTTTTTTTTTTGTTTTCTAAAGACAGAGTCTCACTTTATCACCCTTGGTACAGTACTATGGCATCACAGCTCACAGCAACCTCCAACTCCTGGGCCTAGGTGATTGTCTTGCCTCA